GATGTGCAGGTTAGGGTGGATTGGCCGCGCTAAATTGTCCCATAGTGTCCAGGGATGTGCAGGTTAGGGTGGATTGGCCGTGCTAAATTGTCCCATAGTGCCCAGGGATGTGCAGGTTAGGGTGGATTGGCCGTGCTAAGTTGTCCCATAGTGCCCAGGGATGTGCGGGTTAGGGTGGATTGGCCGTGCTAAGTTGTCCCATAGTGCCCAGGGATGTGCAGGTTAGGGTGGATTGGCCATGCTAAATTGCCCCATAGTGCCCAGGGATGTGCAGGTTAGGGTGGATTGGCCGTGCTAAATTGCCCCATAGTGTCCAGGGATATGCAGGTTAGGAAGAATTGGCCGTGCTAAATTGTCCCATAGTGCCCAGGGATGTGCAGGTTAGGGTGGATTGGCCGTGCTAAATTGTCCCATAGTGCTCAGGGATGCACAGGTTAGGGTGGATTGGCCGTGCTAAATTACCCCATAGTGTCCATGGATGTGCAGTTTAGGGTGGATTGGCCGTGCTAAATTGCCAAATAGTGCCCAGGGATGTGCAGGTTAGGGTGGATTATGGATTAGCCATGGGGAATGCAGTGTTACGGGGACTGGATGGGATGCTCTTCAGTACGGTGGGGCATCGATGGGCTGAACGGCCCGCCGCCACACTGCTTCCAACCGGCCCGGCACCTACCTGGGATCGCGGCAGGCTTCCTTTGGCTGGCGTCCCCACGGCGCTGCCGTTGGACTGGGCCCCAGAGCCAACGTCCCAGTCGGTGCTCGGCAATCCGTTGACCCCTCTCCGGCCCGGCAAGCTCCACTTGCCGTGTGGCCCCTCGTAGGGGAGATTGACAGAGGAGGTCAAGCTGGCGCGATGGAGGACCCGGACCGGCCCAGGTCCGTCCAGCTGGGTGCCCGTTGGGAAGCGGTCTGCCTGCGTGCTGTTGAAAGAAAGCTGGCTGGAGGACAACCTTTGACCTAGAAGTCCCTGGACGGAAGAAGTCCTTTGCAAGGAATTGCTGCTCTCCCTCCGAGGCTCCGACTGGGCTAAAAGCGAAAGCTGTAGCGGCTGCGGCCGAGAGGACCAGGGCGGGCCAGGCTGAGAGCTGGCATCACTTCCTGTGGGCAGGAAACACTTGGATTAGGTGGTGCCATCCATACAGCAACAACCTGCATTCACATAGCATCTTGCAAACATTCCAGGGTGCTTCACAAGAATTGTTTAGATACACAAAAAAGAAATCGCGAGTAGGGCGACCAAAAACACGGAAGTCAGTGTCAGGAGCATCTTTTAAAAAAAAAGTGAGAAAATAAAAGAGGTTTAGGAGAGATTCCAGAACCTGGGATCAGGCACACTCCATGGATGGCGGAGTGATGGGAATCGGAGGGGGTGGAAACGCGTGACAGGCTTGAAATTGAGGAGGAGTGCGAAGATCTCAAGAGGGTGGAGGAGGTTTACAGTGACAGGAAGGGGTAAAGGCCATAGAGGGAGGTAACAAACTAGAATTTTGAATGTGGGGCCTTGCCAGACTGGGAGCCAATGTAGGTCACGGGATAAAGGAGTGGAGGTCGGAGTGGGAGTCAAGGCGGGTGAGCTGAGAGTTACAGTTGGGGCAACAGAGTTTTGGATGAACTGAGTTTGAAAGGGCTGTGGGAGACCCCAGCCAGGAGAGCACTGAGACCATCGTGCATATTGTTTTCGTTTCGAAAAAGTGAGGAATACTGAAGGAATCCTGGAAGAGGTGCAGGGCCTGCTCACCTGACTGAGGCTGGCTTGTGGCAACAGGCCCCTGAGGGTTTACAGCTCCTACCCCACTCTGCGAGGTGCTGCTGTGGGTGATGTGAACTGTTGGGTTGTTGCTGATGGACGAGGAGCCCCCTCCGCAGTCCGAGTCCTCAATGTTGCCCCCGCTGTTGCAGCCTGCACCGCATCCCTTCTGCAGCCTAGCAGGAACACAAAGACTGAAACACAAGGAGGAAAAGTAGGACGACCAAGCTGCCCCCACCTTGTCTCCCTTTGGCAGGGCTATGTGGAGCAACATATCCCCAAACACACAAGGAGTCAAAACCTGGGCATGGAGTCCCTGTGATTAACAACCTTCCCGTTCAAAACTCCATAAAAACGCTTCATGATTTGGAAGACCTTGAGTAAACCTCCTCTTTAGCTTCCCTGCTCTCAGAATGACAAACCCCAACTTCTCCAGGCCATCCATGTTTCTCAGGTCCCTCTGCCATGGTACTTTTCTTTATATTCACTCACAATTGGCATTGCCAGCATTTATTACCCATCCCTAGTTGCCCAGAGGGCAGTTAAGAGTCAACTACACCACTATGGAGTCTGGAATCGCATGTAGGCCCAGACCAGGTAAGGACATTAGGGTACCAGATGGGATTTCCTGAAAATCAACAATGGTTTCATGGTCATTAGATTTTTTAAAATCCAGGTATTTTACTGAATTGCAATTCCACATTCTGCCGTGATAAATTCAAACCCGGGTCTCTGGATTAATAGCCTGGGAATAAATACCACAAAGCCATCACCTCCTGTTGTTGCAAATCGCCCCTGCACCCTCTCTTTGGAATCCGACGTCCTCTCTAACAACATGGTGCCCAAGAGTTGAACACAGTACTCCAACTGGGACCTAACCGGTGTTTTGTAACGTTTAAGCAGAATGCTTGTCTATCCTTTAAAGTTTTGGCAAAGATCTGTAGCTCGGGTCGTGGATGAGGTTGTAGACTTGCTCGCCGAGCTGGCTTGTTTTTGTTCAGACGTTTCGTCACCATGCTAGGTGACATCATCAGTGGAGCCTCCCATGAAGCGATGTTACTCTACTCCACTTGGAATTTATATTTTCTATTCTTTTCTATTTATAAAGCATAGGCTGCTACTATTTTCCCTGTTAATCAATCATTCTTCTAACCTTAGCAGATCACCTCGATAAAGGTTACTCTGCTTTGTCACCCTCTCAGGTAGGGACTGTCAGATCGGAAAGGCCCTCCGACAGCTGACGAAATTAACACGGCATTAAGGTCAGGAACAGCTGAAGGAATTCTGGCTGCCCTCCAGGTTCGGGCCTTACCTTTCCCAGCTGGAGATGAACCAGCTGGAGATGTTCCTCAGGCTGATTGGCTCCCCCCAGATGCTGCGAAGCTGACTGTGCTGTCCTGCGTACGAGGTGGTCAGCGGCGAGACGTAGATGGGGTAGCCGATGGGCTGGTCGCACGAGGAATTGATCATGTTGCGGAGGGCCTGCTTGGCATTCTGGATGCTGCCGCGCTCTGGGTTCCGATTGCGCAGGAACACCAGCTCCTGCTGCTGCCCCGACCACAGGCCGCGCACGCACTCCCGGTTCACCTGCAGCCGACAAAGCAAAGCAGACGGGAAATAAAAATGCAAACGAGGTTCCCGAATCCTCCCTTTCCTATTTTGAACTGACGCAATTCCTTGGCTGTTTTGCAAAGTGGAGATGCGCAACGACCATACTGAATGACAAGACAGTCTCAACGGCCTACTCCTGCTCTATATTGCCTTGGAGGAAGTGCAGCAATGTGATATGTGGACTCGAAAACTTAAGACAAAAATGAGGTTTTTAAAACCCCTGAAATGTAGACAGTCAAGGAATGATTTGGTCAAAATTTTAAGGAGAACGGAAAAGTTAATGAAGACTAAATATTTCTGCCTTCTGGCCAGACTAGGGCCAGGCAGCATAAACTGAAAGATAAGAGACTGGCTTTTTGGGAACGAAGGTAGGAATCATTTTAACACAAAGGTTCGGAACTCTCTTCTGCAAACAGCGACTAATGCTTGAACAAAGTCAGTTAAAATTTTAAAATTTTCTGAAGAAGGGTCTTGACCCGAAACGTCAGCTTTCCTGCTCCTGATACACTGCTTAGCCCGCTGTGTTCATCCAGCTCTACACCGTGTTATCTAAAATTAAAACTGAAGTTTTCATTGATCGAAGGAGGTGGGGATAAATACAGATATAGGTCACGTGTCAGCTTAACACCCACCTTCCCGTTGCAAAGTTCCTAGAACGCGCTGGGAGCTGCGGAATCCTGGTGCTGTATGAGATGATGTAAATCATTACCTTAATGACACGGAAGCTGAGGTATCGCTTATTGAGCATGATGATCTTGTACTCATCGCTGCCGTCATCCATCACATGGCGCAGTGCCAGCAGCGACTGGGTGTTGGTGAGTATGGCATTACGCCAGGCCGGGTCACCCTCATGGGAGATCACCATCTTCTCGTCATTGCTGGTGATGGCATCGTACAGCACGGCAGGGTCATCGTACTCATCAGGGGATGTGAAATGATCCTGGACAGTGAGAGTCATACAGTCACAGATGTACAGCACGGAAACAGACCCTTCGGTCCAACTCGTCCATGCCGACCAGGTTTCCTAAATTAATCTAGTCCCATTTGCCAGCATTTGGCCCATATCCCTCTAAACCCTTCCTATTCATGTACTCATCCAGATGCCTTTTAAATGTTGTAATTGTGCCAGCCTCCACCACATCCTCTGGCAGCTCATTTTATACACGCACCACCCTCTGCGTGAAAAAGTTGCCCCTTAGCTCCCTTTTAAATCTTTCCCGTCTCACTTTAAACCAAATGCCCTCTGGTTTTGGACTCCCCTACCCTGGGGAAAAGACCTTGACATTCATCCTATCCACGCCCCTCATGATTTTATAAATCTCTACAAGGTCACCCCTCACCCTCCGACGCTCCAGGGAAAATAGCCCCAGGCTATTCAGCCTTTTCCTATAGCTCATACCCAACACGTCTCCAAATCCCATCCTGCTTTCCTCATCCCCTTCCAATCTCCGTATCCTCCCCTCCCCCCAAGTCCTCTTTTATGCACCCTTTTCAAGTTTAACAACATCTTTCCTATAGCAGGGAGACCAGAACTGAATGCAGTATTCCAAAAGTGGTCTAACCAATGTCCTGTACAACCTCAACATGACCTCCCAATTTCTATACTCAATGCACTGACCAATAAAGGCCAGTGTACCAGAAGAGAGAGAGAAAAAGGACCACTGCAAATCAGACAGAACTCAGAGCGACTGGGACTGGGCCGTGGCCGAGAGACGCCCACCCATCTGTCCACACAGGACAGCCCTCTGCCCTCCTCCACCCTGTGTCCCCAGTTCCCTCCCCCACTGCAGACGTGCTCCATACCTGATGCAGCTTCAGTGACATCCGAACCCCGGGAGCCACCACCTTCTGCAGCAGCTCCATGTCGACAAAAACCCACTCGTCCCGGGGGCAGGTGATCCGGAAATCACCTTTGAACAGGGCGTGCAGCCCATAGAGGAACGGCTCCAGGCTGCTGCGGGAGAAACAGACCGAGGGAGGGGTGGAGGGGAAAGAGAGAAAGGCACAGGAATATTAATGTCAAAGATCATCCATTACCACTCAGTGTTCCCACATTCCTGATGCCCATGTTGGAATTCCCACTTGGATACATGAAAGACCTTTAAATCTATCCTCTCCTACACCATATCCCACTTCATTCCAGCTTGCATTGACCTACCAACACTTCTCCCATGCCTTCAGCTGGTTGATCTACATGGGCTCCAACAACACCTCGATTTTTAAATTCTCATCCCTGTCTCCAAATCCCATCCTGCTTTCCTCATCCCCTTCCTATCTCTGTATCCTCCCCTCCAAGTCCTCTGCCCCTCTGGGGTCTCTGTGCGCTCCCCCATTTCAGGTCCCGTGCATGATCTCCCAATTCCCATTACACCACCATTAGCGGCCGTACCTTTGGCTGCCAGGCCTCCCTAAGAACCTCTCTCTCTCCTTAAAACTGGCGTCTTTAACCAAGCCTTCGGATTTCTAACAGCTCTGGAGCTTAGCTGGCATCGGGCTGAAGGGAAACATGAATATCTGTGTAACTTGAGCTCACTAGAGATCAATAAAGCTGCAATGGATAGCAAGAAGCTTTTTCCCCCCCAGAGTGGGGGACTCAATTACTAGGGGTCACGATTTCAAGGTGAGTGGGGAAAAGTTTAAGGGAGATATGCGTGGCAAGTTCTTTACGCAGAGGGTGGTGGGTGCCTGGAACGCGTTGCCAGCGGAGGTGGTAGAAGCGGGCATGATAGTGTCATTTAAGATGTATCTAGACAGATACATGAATGGGCAGGGAGCAGAGGGATACAGATCCTTGGAAAATAGGCGACAGGTTTAGATAGAGGATCTGGATCGGCGCAGGCTTGGAGGGCCGAAGGGCCTGTTCCTGCGCTGTAATTTTCTTTGTTCTTCGTTCAATGCCACTGCAGTGTTTTCTGACTGCACTGGACAGCCTTCACTAGTCACATAGCATCAGCTTTCACCCATTTTTGAGACAAAGGGCCTCTGGTCCCAGATGTGGACAAAACCCTTGCCCTGACACTGCGGACGCCGCATTCCATTCCGCGGACACAACACCCCAGCTCACACATCGCCCTCTGCTCTTCTGATCCTCTCTGCTCGCTCACCTACCTGGTTGACATGCTGTGAGACGCCGTCCCCAGGGCTCTCCGACCCAGAACGCAGAGTCCGAAACACAGGGTCACCAGGTGAGAGTTCCTGTCATTCTCCACAGACTTCACAAGATGATGGTGGGTGGAAGTTAGACAGAGGCAGAGAGGAAGACAGAGTTACGTTAGCCAACTGAGATGGAGCGCAACTTTAGGACCGAGTTTCGTCTTAAGTGTCCAGCATCGTACTATCGAACGTCACCCCTATCTCTGCTGGGATCGGAGTAGCACGGGGAAAAGGACAAATAGTGACTGCTCTCAAAGCCACCAATCTGTGACGTTTGTGCAGGGAAAAAAAAACACAACTTGCAGCCCAGCACAAATAAAAAGTCCAACATCATCCCAGGAATGTGACTTTAATTACATCCATAAACCAACAAGTGGTAATTATAGAAGGTCAAAACAGTGCACAGAATCCTAATGGGAGGGTTCTTAGAATCCCAGGTTTAAAGGATGAAGTAATGGGGACAGTTTACATCAGATTTTATTCCCTCAAGTGTAGACAATTAAGGGAGGATATTATCAAGGTGTGAGAGACAGAGGAGAGAAGATTGAGCAAATATTCTGTCTGGTCGGAGGAGTCCAGAACAAGTTGGCATCAATCTTCACTACAAAAAGATAGCAGTAACATGCCAGAAATTGCTGTAAAAGAGGAAATGGAAGGTAGGGAGGAATGCACGAACCACAAACACCAACACAGAGCCGCTAGGCTGAAAGGCCTGATTCTGTGGTGTACATCCAATGTATTAGATTAGGTTGGATATTAAGGGGCACGGAACCGATCTGGGTAAAATAAAGTCAAGATAGAAACAGATAGTCGGAAGAAGGATAGTAGGAATTTTTTCTGACGAAGGGTCTAGGCCTGAAACGTCAGCTTTCCTGCTCCTCTGATGCTGCTTGGCCTGCTGTGTTCATCCAGCTCCACACCTTGTTATCTCAAGATAGAAAGGACTGATTTAGGATAGTCAGCATGGCTTTGTGCGAAGAAAATCATAGAATCCCTACAGTGTGGAAAGCAGGCCATACAACCCATCGAATCCACACCACCCCCACAAACAACATGCCATCCAGACCCTATCCACCTACCCTATCCCTGTTACAGTGCATTTCCCATGGTTAATCCACCCAACCTACATGTCCCTGGACACTACTGGCAATTTAGCACGGCCAATCCATCAACCTACACATCTTTTGATTGAATTTTGAGTTCACTGAGTTTTGATTGAATTTTTTTGAGGAGGTAACCAAAAAGATTGATGATGGCAGCGTGGCAGACATGGTCCACATAGACTTTAGTGAAGCCTTTAACAAGGTTCCACATGGTAGACTAATCAGTAAAGTTAGATCACATGGGATTCAGGGAGAGCTTGCCAACTGGACGCAAAATTTGCTCAAAGGCGGGAGACAGAGGATGGTGGTGGGAGGGTTGTTTTTCGGACTGGAGGCCTGTGACCAGCGCTGTTCCACAGGGATTGCTAATGGGTCCACTTTTGTTTGTCATTTATATAAACGATTTGGATGAGAATTTAGGAGACATGGTTAGGAAGTCTGCAGATGACACCAAAATTGATGGTATGGTGGACAGTAGAGAAGGTTATCTAAGATTACAAAGCAATCTTGATCAATTGGGTCAATGGGCTGAGAAGTGGCAGATGGAGTTTAATTTGGATAAATGCAACGTATTGCATTTTGGTAAAACAAACAAGGGCAGAACTTATACACTTTATGGTAGGGCCTTGGGTAGTGTTGTAGAACAGAGGGACCTAGAGGCTCAGGTAAACAATTCTTTGAAATTTGCGTCACATGTAGACAGGATGGTTACAAAGGCATTTATAGCATGCTTTCCTTCATTGTTCGAACCTTTAAGTAAAAGAGTTGAGAAGTCCTGGTGAAGTCCCCGCTGGAGTACTGTGTCCAGTTCTGGTCGCCCTGTTATAGGGTGGATGTTATTAAGATGGAGAGGGTTCAGAAGAGATTTATCAGGACGTTGCCAGGAATGGAAGGTTTGAGTTATAAGGAGAGGCTGGATAGGCCGGGACTTTCTCCACTGGAGCATAGGAGGTTCAGAGATGACCTTAGAGGTTTATAAAATCATCAGGGGCATAGATAAGGTGAATGGCAAAGGTCATCTCCCTAGGGTGGGGGAGTTCAAAACTAGGGAGCATATTTTTAATGTGAGAGGAGAAAGATTTAAAAGGGACATGAGGGGTAACCATTTTACACAGAGAGTGGCTCGTGTGTGAACTGAACTTCCAGAGGAAGTGGTGGATGTGGGTACAGTTACAATGTTTAAAAGACATTTGGATAAGGACATCAATAGGGAAAGGTTTGGAGGGATATGGGCCAGGAGCAGGCAGGTGGGACTAGTTTAGTTTGGGATTGTGGTTGGCACGGACCGGATGGACCGAAGGATCTGTTTCCACATGACTTTAATTCTTCCACAGTGTAACTGAATGGTAGAGTAGATGGCAGGGCTGAATGGCCTTTTTTTCTCTTTATTCATTCACGGGATGAGGGTGTCTCTGACGAGGCTTCATTTATTGCCCATCCCTAATTGCACAGAGGGCAGATAAAAGTCAACCACATTGCTGTGGGTCACATGTAGGCCCAGACCGGGTAAGGATGGCAGTTGCCTTCCCTAAAAGGGAATTAGTGAAACAGATGGGTTTTTCCCGACAATCAGCAATGGATCTACGGCATTAATTCCAGATATTTATTGAATTCAAATTCCACCATCTGCCGGGGCGGGATTCGAACCCGGGTCCCCAGAACATTATCTGAGTCTCTGGATTAACAGTCCAGCGATAATACCACTAGGGCCATCGCCTCCCCTAATTCTGCTGCATCTTGCAAAGGACAGAATGCAGGAGGCGGCTCCTCTTGGCCTTCATGCCTGTGTTATTGCTGTGGCCCACCTTGTCCCTCCGACTGGTGCAGTACTGGATCCAGTCGAGGTAAACGTTGCAGAAAGAGGCCAGGGAGATGCCTTGCATGCGGTGGTCGTAGTCCTCATCAATGTTGTGGTTGAAGGTGGGATCGCTGTCAGCGTAGCTGGGGCTGGAGCACGCATGCAGCGCCTCCTGGATCGCATCGTTGTTCACCCATTCCTCCAGCTTCGGAGAGCGGATCACGTAATAGATTATACTCTGTCAGAGAGAGGAACCAGGAGAGACGTGGGGAGTGGGAAGTATGGAGGCGGAGCAGTGGGCAAGAGGAGTGGAGGGGGCATAGGAGTTGGGAAAGTGATTGATGAAGTGGGAGTGGAGGGGTTGGGAAAGAGGAGAAGGGGTGAGAGGAGGTGGGGAACAGGGGGAGACAGGGTGGAAGACAGAACAGAAAGAAGACAGCAGGGAAGAAAAAAGAGAGCGCGGGAGAGAAAGAGAAAAGCGAGTTAGGACCACACGGCAAACATTAATGTTTCTACCACCTCAAACTTGCCCGTTGCTGTGGCTTAGGGTGTTGTACTCAGACAGGAGTGGAGTCCCACTCCAAAAGTGTCAGGATACAACCCAGGCCGATATTCCCAGTATAAGTACCAACGCAAAGCTGCACTGCTGGATTCACTATCTTTCAGGCCAGCTCACTCGCGTCCTCTCAGGGTGGACGTAAAAGACCCCTTCAGATATTGTGCCTGTCCTCGGGAGTGTTTGACGTGCCATTATAGGGGAAAGTTTACAAACATATATGTAAATAGGAGGAGGAGGCCACTCAATAAGATCATGAGACATCGGATTACTCCTCATTCCCACCTACCTCCGATAAACTTGCACCCCTTGCTGACCAGGGATCCATCTATTCTGCCTGAAAATATATTCAGGGACTCTGTTTCCACCACCCTTTCAGGATGATAATCTCAAACACTGCCGACTCAAATAAAAATCCTCCTTGTTTGTTTTAAATGAGTGATCCTTTACTTTTCACCAGTTCTAAATTCTCCCACAAGAGGGCAGAATCACAGCTGCTCAGTCAACACCTCACGATATAATATGCTTCAATGAATTCACCTCTTACTTGCTAACTTTTCTGTTGGAAGTCCATTCCAGACATTAGTCCAGTAAACCTTCTCTGAATGGCTTCCCACTCGGTGACATCCTTCCTTCAATAAGGAGACCACTATCGCTGCACACTGTGCTGCAGCGGTCTCACCAATGCCTTGTATCATTCAAGTATAACCTCTGAACTTTCATGTTTGATCTGAAACTAACCTGGTTCTGTCCCTATCCTGGGAGTGTCTGATGTGGACAGTGCAGACTGAGCTTTACTTTCAGTTTAAAAGTGTAGGGGAAGTATGAACTCTATACTTAAACGTATGTAACAGCTCACCACGCCCAGCGAATGTATTTCATACTGCGACTGGGTGCCTGACATAGGAGTGTCCCCCCAATCCCCGCAGGAAACAATTAAGCGGTTTGCACACTAGTGTAGCCAGCAACATTCCAAATGTCAAACTCCACAGAAATAAAGATTTCCAGCGTATAGCCACTTTCATTCAGCAAGTTGGATGCAGGCCGTGTACCTGGGCTTTTTGATATTTCACTACAGCCATTTCTGAAGAAGGGTCCCGACCCGAAACGTCAGCTTTCCTGCTCCTCTGATGCTGCCTGGCCTGCTGTGTTCCTCCAGCTCCACACTGTCGTCTCTGACTCCAGCATCGGCAGTTCTTACTATCTCTTTTTGATACAACCAAGTGTTTAAAATTTGGTTGAATTTAAGCTTAAGGGAAGCACTATATTCATGAGGTTTACTGTAGCTCTGCATTGGGTGAGGGTCCGATTTGTGAAGGGGGTCTGTGGCAGGGTGGTGGGACCCCAGTTAAACCAAGCAGCCCAGTACCTTGACGTAGTAAGTGATGAGGATCTTGCGGAGGTCGAAAACCTGCAGCATGGAGGCTGCGTTGTTGTCGCTGATGCTGTAGCCCTCCAGGACGTACTTAGTGGCAGCGACCTCCCAGGCCAGCCAGCGCTGTCCGAAGGCGGCGTTGAAGGACAGCATGTGCGGTAGGTGACCAGGCTCACAGCAACAGCAGCCTTCATCTTCCTCCACTCCCTCAGTAATGGCCTCCACCTCCCGCTGCTGGCAATAGGTGCCTGTCAGAACAGGGTTGGGGGAGTGAGAGAGAGACAGATGTGTTAAGGTCCAGTACCACCTGGTGAACCACAACGCAGAAGCTGACTGTAAAACCAAAGCCCCCGCCCCACCAACGCTCACTACAACCAGCTGGGAAAGAAGGCAGTTTTTAATGCAAACGGCCACTATGTCAAGTACCTCGGAACTCCAGGCCTCGCAGCTGAAAGGTAACAATCCCGTTGCCGATCTCAATCAGGTGAACCAACGCGTTCAAGTAGTCCGATGCCAGGATGAAGCAGTCGCCCATGGCGTAGTTCCCCCAGCGGCCCAGGAGCAGGTCCCCACACAGGCTGTGCTGCAGCGAGCGGGTCAGGTGCTCGTAGAAGATAGAGTTGAGATTATTGTCGTCGGCTCCTGTGACGCAAGCATTTTCGGTTAAGCCGCTTCCTTCTTCCCTTCCTCCCCCCACCAAATACCTGGGGTATTTGTTTGGGAGCGGGACATGGAGCACAATCTCTACCCCACCCCCCCTCACCCCGGGAGGTAGCACAAGGTCAATGAAGCCCAAGCAGCTGAGGTGCTGGATCAAGGGGACAAGGATGGGAGAGCTGACGTCCCCTGCTCCCCGTCCCGGCTATGTTTCGTCCCCCGGTGCAGGGCAATGGGGACAGCTTCTGCCCTTTGTCCATTAGCCACCTTAACCGCCAGGTTCGTGCCTGACAACTACGAATGGGCAGATGGGAAGAGACGGACTGTCCCCATCGAGCCTGCCCAAACCAAGATGAAACAAAGTGACTGAACGCTCCTCCTGTAGCCATGGAATCGCCTGGAAGAGGCGCAGGATTGGAGAGAAAACCCAGGAGCAATTAAAATGTCAGGGAATCAAACCCAGGACGAGAGCGAGGACAAAAACACCAGTGAAATTGGAACAAGTCAACCTGCAGGTTGACCCAGGGCCAGCAGCAGGGCACACATCGTTCAAATCCCTTAAATAAAAAAGCAGCGGGAAATCAGAAAAAGACCACAAAAATTGCTCCGTCACCCATGACCCGAAAGCCCTGCCGAGTTAACTGAAGGGTACCTGGGTTCCTGTCCAGTTGTGTGGCTAGTCGAGTGTTAGAATGGTCGACCCGCTTGGTGCTGTAGGGAAGGAGGCAAAGAGAGGAGCAAGTCATGGCCAGAGTACAAAATGTAGACAGGACTGGCTGTAATGTCCCCATGTGACCTGAACAACTTGACAGAGGACTTCAAGCCATCTTGCAAATCAAATGAACTTTAGTGTGCTACAAAGTTGCATAACTGTGATGCCTAACTCTGTTGTTAGAAGACACATCACCCTCTTTAAATCTAATAACACAGCTCCCGACTGCAGCACAGGACCTGGACAACATCGGCCCCTGACTCTCACAATTGCTGCCTCTATGCAGGACAGAATAAGGTGCGGAGCACTCCATCCCCGGAAGTGCGAACAAACGGCTACACAAAGCGAAACTTAAGACTGTGGAGATTCTTACTTGTAATCTCGCTCCCAAAATTTCACTGGCCTGGCATAGGAGGTGATGAACACAGCACTGCCAAGGAGGGGGTTCAAAGGAGTGGAGACAAAAGCCGAGAGCACAGCCTGGACAAAAAGCATCGCAGAGTCTGCAAGATTGTATCCAGTTAAGGAAGAGACGTGGCTGCTCACGGCCAGCTAACAGCTCATCCCACCCGCCTCTGCAGGCAGCTGTCAATGGTGTACCCAGGTAACACTTCCTTCTGGCTGTTAGCTGTACTGTGTAACCTTACTTTCTTCTCTGGGCAATTTTCGTGGGGTGTGGGTCAGCATCTGTTGCCCATCCTAACTGCCCCTTGAACTGATTTGCTAGGGCTATTTCAGAGGGAAACCCAATCGTTGTGGTCTGCAGTCTCATGGAGACCAGACCGAGTAAGGACGACAGATCGGGGAGGTTAGTTGAACAATCAGTAATAGTTTTCAGTAATCATCACTTAGCTTTGGATTCTAGATTTATCAGCTTCATTTAAATTCCATCAGCAGCAGCGTCGGGATTTAAAAACTTGCCCACCCAGGGCCTTGATCGCTCGGCTGCTAGCCGGCTAACGTTACCGCTGTCTCCCCCTTCTCCAAAGTTTCTTTTCACCTTCTCCCCTACCCCTGACGGATCACACCATGTTGAAACCCCTTTCAACCAAGCGCGGAGGCTGGAGGGACGTGAAAAGGATACGAGGCACGGCGAACGGCTGGGCGAAGGCATGGAATGCAGAGCCCCACGTGATCTGCCAGGGGGCGATGTAGGTCAGCACAAAATGCAACTTGTACAGCAAGTCCCAGAGCTGGAAGCAAGGAAATCAGAGTCAGCATCAAGACATACAGCGCAGCAGAACACGCAGAGAATGTTCTTCTTTACTATAGTTAACAGGTTTCGTCTAGAGTTCCATAAAGAATTAACTTCAAGAGTGTAGTTATTAAACAGGGTAGAAAGAAGGATGGATTAAATCCAGAATAAAGTCCCTCCTGCACTGTCCCATGGAAGATGTTCAGGGCAGCTCCAGTCCATGTTTATAAATATCTTCCGCATGCGATGATGCACTAACCGACTGGAAGTAAACAGAGAACCGGGCAGCAGGTTGAGTGGTTTTATTCCACCAAGTTCTTGGGCCCTGGCCCTACTTTTGCAGGATAGCTTGGGATGGGAATCAGGAAGTCAAGCCACTTCAGAAATAGCACGGTAAACTGGGATCGAGGGACACGCTTTGTTGCTCAGACATGAGACCCTGACAAACAACAAATTCTCCACAGGGTGAAAGGTTGGGTCATAGCCATACAGCACAGAAGCAGACCCTTTGGTCCAACTTGTCCGTGCCGACTAGATACCCTAAATTGTTCTAGTCCCATTTGCCAGCATTTGGTCCTTATTCCTCTAAACCCTTCCTATTCATGTACCCATCCGGATGCCTTCTAAATGTTGTAATTGTACCAGTCTCCACCACTTCCTCTGGCAGCTCATTCCATACACGCACCACCCTCTGCGTGAAAAGGTTTCCCCTCAAGTCCCTTTAAAATCTTTCCCGTCTCACCTTAAACCTATGCCCCTCTAGTTTTGGACGCCCCTACCCTGGGGAAGGGACCTCGTCTATTCACCCTATCCATGGCCCTCATGATTTTATAAACCTCTATAAGGTCACCCCTCAGCCTCCGACGCTCCAAAGAAAATAGCCCCAGCCTATTCAGCCTCTCCCTATAGCTCAAACCCTCAACCGTGGTAACATCATTGTAAATCTTTTCTGAACACTTTCAAGTTTCACAACATCTTTCCTATAGCAGGGAGACCAGGACTGAATGCAGTATTCCAAAAGTGGCCTCACTACAGCCACAACATGAGCTCCCAACTCCTACACTCAACGCACTGACCAATAAAGGCCAGTGTACCAAACGCCTTCTTCACTACCCTGTCTACCTGACTGCACTTTCAAGGAACTATGAATCTGCACCCCTAGGTCTCAGTGTTTGGCAACAGTCCCTACAACCCTATTGTTAAGTGTATAAATCCTGCCCTGGTTTGCCTTACCAAAATGCAACGCCTCGCATTTATCTAAATTAAACACTGTCTGCCACTCCTCACCCCATCTGATCAAAGCCCTGCTGTACTCTGAGATAATCTTCTTCACTGTCCACTACACCAACAATTTTGGTGTCATCTGCAAACTTACTAACCATACCTCCCATATTCACATTGAAATCATTTATATAAAATGACAAAAAGCTGTGAACCCAACACCGATCCTTGTGGCACACCACTGGTCACAGACTTGCAGTCTGAAAAGGAACCCTCTAGCACCACCCTCTATATCGTACCATCAAGCCAATTTTGTACCCAATTGGCTAGCTCCCCCTGGATTCCACGTGATCTAACCTTGCTAACCAGGCCACCAAGTAGAATCTTGTTGAACGCCTTGCCTTGCGTCCTACATTTGTATGCTGCGGGGAGCTTGGCAAGGTTCTTCAAGCAGCACTGACCGCTTTGCACGAGAGCACTCCATATTTACATTGAGAGATGAGACAGTCATCCAGGCTTACAGCCCAGTAAAAGGCCCTTTGGACCAGTGAGACTGTGCCAGCCAAAAACAAACAGCCAACTACGGTCACTCCTAGTATTTTCTTGAATAACCTGGCTCTCATTTTAGGGTTCGCCCCATTGCACTAGGGCCTCCAAACCAGCAGGCAAAGTGTTTGTATCAACCCTACCGATCCCTTTCAAAATCCTAGGCCTGCTCTTGGCAGAGGTGCCCAGCTGGTGCCACGCTTCTTCAGCCTTCCCCTTGAAGTATTTCTCCAATGTGCCCTTTTGGAAAGGATAGTGAATCAGTTTCTTTCAGACAAGGCATTCTAGCTCACAGACAACTCACTGTGCCAAAAAGACTCCTATCTCTCCCTTTGGTTCTGTTGCAAATTATTTGAATCCTCTGGTTTCTGGACAGCGAGGGAGAAATTTCTCCTTAATTACTCAATTAAAACCCCCTCTAATTAAATCTCCCCTGCTCTGAGAACAAACCCAGCTTCTCCAGATTGACTGAACTCTTCGTCCCTGGTACTGGATAAATCTCCTCTGCACTGTCCATAAAAGCCTAGGATCAGGAGAAGGCCATTCAGCCCCTGAAGCCTGGCCCACCATTCCAAATCAAGGCGGACTGTGCCGGTCCCTCAATACCATTTACCACACACTGAGTGACTGAGCTAGCACAATCTTCTGGGTAGGAGGATTCAAAAGATTCACTGCTATCTGAGTGAAGAAATTCCTTCTCATCTCAGTATTAAAAAGACTGCCTCTTATCCTGAGACCATGCCAGAGCAAGGACCCCTCCCAGCCAGGATAAACATCCTTTCTGGACGTGCCTTGCCCAGCCTAAGCTTCAATCAGGTCACCTTTCACCCTCGAGAATACAACCACAGTCTCGTCATTGGTCAGTGCCACTGTTCCAGGAATTAGCTCAGAGAACTTTGTTCCACTCCCCACCAAAGCAGTACATCCTTCCATATAACTGCAACAAGACCCCTGTACTCAAATCCCCTTGCAATAAAGGTCAACACAATCATCTGCCTTCCCAGTTACTTGCTGCACCTACATGTTAGCTTTCAATGGTTTGTGTACAAAGTTCTTGGATCAACAGTTTCCAAACCACACCATTCAAGGAATACTCTGTATCCCCATTCCTCCTACCAAAATAGATAACCTCTCGCTCCTCAACATTAAATTCGATCTATCTTGTTCTTTGCCACTTACACAGCCTCTCCAAATGGCCTTGACGTCTCTTTGAAGCCTCCTCACGACTCCCAATTCCACCCAGAGATATTAAGAGCTGCCGATGCTGGAGCCTGAGATAACGCAGTGTGGAGCTGGAGGAACACAGCAGGCCAGGCAGCATCAGAGGAGCAGGAAAGCTGACGTTTCAGGTCGGGTCCCTTCTTCAGAAAATTTCTGTGTTCCTCTAGCTCCACACTATGTTATCTCAATTCCACCCAGTTGTGTCATCTGGAAGTATTACCTTTCATCACCATACCCAAATCACCAATAAGACTACGAATAACTGGGGTCCTAAGCACTAATCCTTTGTGGGACCAAGGCCTCGAAATCCACCCTAAGGGTGGGACCCAGATCGGGACACAATATTCCAGCTTAATCAGAGATTAAAATAGGCTTAGCATAATACCTTTGCTGTTGTACTCTTGTGCCTCTTTATCATAGAATCCCTACAGTGTGGAAACAGGCTCTTCGGCCCAACAAGTTCACACTGACCGTCAGAGCATCCCACCCAAACCTATCCCCTTGTAACCCATCTAATCTGAACATCCCTGGACACTATGGGGCAATTTAGCATGGCCAATCCACTTTAACCCGCACATCCCTGGATACTATGGGACAATTTAGCACGGCCAATCCACCCTAACCTGCACATCC